TCTTCGAACGGAATATTTTACTTCAAGATCTTTAAATCGCAGTACGATGTACAAATCGATCACATCCACTCAAAGAACAAAACGGATATAGTATTGAAAAATAACACGAACACCATCAGTGAATCAGTTTCTTAGAAATCGATTATGAACTTCCGTTTCCGCAAGGTTGAATATCTCACAAGAAATAACTGCGGATAAGTCGATCCAACGCTTAAATTTAATATATTTTTGGTTAATGATGCCAAGTAAGAAAAAATACTTACTGTGGCGACCTAAGGTTATAATAAAGGTAAAAAAGAAAACATTTCCATCCTTGGATATGAGCAGTTTTAACGCAAGCAAATCAGCCTCGTCTCGTTGGTCTTGTTGCAAAACATTTGATTGGTCGGAGAAAATGCCGCGTCATAAATTATGAAGAGCGACTACCTGCCCACCGTCACGTTGATGCCCATAACTCCGACTTGGTAAGAAAGGGACGAGCCGAATTTTTCGTACCGTTTCGGCTACAAAGATCGCCGTTTACATCCTGCCCACAATCATGATCATGGATGAACAACTCCGGCAGATTGCACCGAGCGAAGACTTTGATCCAATGGCGGCTTTACTCGGGATGAATGTCACTGTAAGAAGAGAACTGTATCAAGAGCGTGCAAGAATCAACGAAATGGTTGTTGTTCAGCACACTGAGGATATCGAGTCTCTCAAAAAGCAGATTGATGAGAAGAACAAAGAAATCGATGAGCTACGTAAATCAATGGACAGTCTGGTGGAGCAGAATCAAGAGTTAAGCGTGGCGCTTAAGTCTAGAAATGAGGAGATTAAAGCCCTCAAGGCGAGAATCGGTCGACTCGAGACTGATAAAAAGGACTTGGAAGACGAGCTGAAGTCTGTTACAGTCAAGGTTAGCCGAATGGAAAAGGATATCAGAGAACTGAACGAAGCAAAGACCGCCCAAGAAGAGAAAAACATGGAACTACAAGAAAATTTTGACAAGGTCACAGGCAAGCTAGAGAGTAGAAACCAAGTATTGAAGAAAGAGATAAAGGAGATTCGAGAATCACAACACAAAGAGGCGCTGCCGCCATCAACAGTAACCCCAAGAGCAGGAGGACGTCAAATGCTTACTCCTCCATTACCAAGGCACCATCAGAGAGCCGATTGGGAACTGCATGCCTCGCTCACTTTGGGAGAGCTGTGCCGACAGTTCCAGAACAAGTTGTATAAGATAATATTCCCGAATTCGTTTCAGTCAAACAGGAATTACAAGATGAAGAATATTTGGCGCGATTTGGATAGACTGCCTCAACTGGAAGAGGAAAAGCAGCGATCGAGGAAAAAGTGGGACGAAGTAAAGCAAAAGTTGAAATGGGATGAATGTTACGAAGATGCCATGAAAGCACTCCAGGAAAGCCGAAATGTGGATGCCCATCCAGCCCCTTTAACGGAGGAAGGTCTTGCAAGAGCCGCAGAACTCATGGATTCCAAAGGTAACCTGAAAGGTTGGCTGTCTTTGAAACGAGTGAATGAGTTGATAACTATGTGGAAAAACGTTCAGACAATGGAGTGAGTCATTTGCTTGTGCTTTATTGGTATTGCTGAAATAGTTTTAAAATCAAATTTAGCTCCTTTATTACCAAGGAAGGATAATAGAAACATGTGACTATATTCTTAGTTATTACCCATGGAACTGAGCTATAGCTAAAGGGAACTATGTTTCACACGCTGAAATATGGAGACGAACATTTACAAAGTCACGATGTTTTATTTCTTTATTTTAAACTAGATTGTCGATTTTCTATCAGGAATAACTATTTCAACTTTATATCAAATGTTTCACTTGGGAGTAAGAAAAACAATTTCGATTCTCGATGAAAATTATCATTAGATGTAAAGTTTAAATTTAGCCTACTTATATGGTTGGAAACATCCTTTTTGTCTAAGGATTTAAAGGTAAAAAAAATTGAATCGAAATGCTCAAAGCAGAATAAAACCGTTGCCTTATTGGGGTTAAAATGCGAAACCAGTGTGCCTCGCTCGCTGACAGAATGACTGATTGTAGTTATACCGTGACTTGCATCAGAACTTAGGTCAAATGTTCGCTGTATGATGCGCGGAGAATTTTGATGCGAACATCGAAAATTCTATAAAATATCACTGCTTTTACTCAATGCTGGGCCTCGTCGTAAAGTAGGCGATTCTCCTTCTTCTGTTGTTAATATTTAGTACAGATTTAAATACTCATGTTAGACTTCTGCCGGTAGACAGACATAATTCTGTTCTTGGGGTATTTCAACTTTCACTTTCTTTCAAGTAATCTTCTGTTTCAGGATTGAGAAAGAAAAAAACATGTCAGCTCAAAATCACAAAATCCACGAGGCAAATTAATCCACTGTACACGGGAATTCACTGAAGTAAAAGACAAACCTAACCCGAAACCACATTCATTGCTTTTATCCATCTTCGTTCCCTCGGATCGCGCACAAAGAACTCACATCGGCTTCTCTTCATTGGTTCTGCGTACATCCCAAAACGAAGCTTATTATCTGCTCAGCTTCGAAAATTATGCTTTTATCTGCGTTAATTCCAAGAGTGAGTGGATTTCCGAGAAATTGAACTTTTGTTGAATTGCATAACGCAACAGGTCACTTTCTTGTTCATTTCCGTCCTAATGCAAAAATATCAGGAATTAATATTGCAAGATACTTGATTATTGTATCAAGCGCTTCGCTGTCAGAGTAAAGAGGCATATTTTATTCAAAGGTGGAGGATATGGGAAACACTCATGAGAATTCGAGGTAAAAAATTAACTGCGCGGCCGCAATTATCTTGCCCAGATGTAAACTGAGTAAGACTGCTGATTTGCATATAGCTGAAAAATATTTGCTATCCTTTTGAACAATTGTATGTTTCGACATAGTATGACAGAATTATTACAGATATATGACTCCCCCGTGCCTTCTTTGTTAGAGACAATCCGTTTTATAAGCTGCAGAAAACTTTTTTTACATATATACATGCATGTATATACAATACACCTACATAACTGCTTTCCCGTTTCTGATCACTATGAACGTACACCACGCTTTCCACGAAATCGACTTCAATCTTCATTGTGCAATAATCAATTTTTTTAAGCCTGACTGACTTCTTTTTGACATAATGCTGGGGTAAGATATTTAAAGACTTCTTATAACGCTTTATGGAATAAAACACAATAAGAATAACACATAACCGGGCAAAGATATGATGTATTCTTCTTTAATGTTCATTGCTATTCGCTTACGAATTGACTGGTCTTTGCTTTGAGTCGCTTGATGTCTTTGTCTTTGACATTCAAAGGCTTAATAATTCGACAAAATCACAAAGTTTCCCTTAGGTCAGAATATGATCCCCATGCCAGTACTAAATTAAACACTGCACCGGGATTATGTTCGCTTTTTCTGAGAAATAGGCCTCAACATAAACAAACGGTCGTTTGGTAGTTTTCCCGGAAAGCTGTTGAAGTGATCATGCGCCAACGCGAGTGCATATCGGATAAAGTGTTTCCAATGGAAACAAATAATTTCTCTCTTTTTTTTTATCGAGAGATACATCTGGGAACAACTTCTCAAGTACAAGGTTGTGTCAGAGGGGTTCTCTTCGACACCAGCAACCGAAATATTTATCATAATTGTTGGGTGAAAACAAAAGTTCCATATTACGCCATCTCACTTACAAGGAACTGCATTGTGAAAATACACTCTGGGAGATCGACTGATGCAACCAAGTTTCATTTTCGTTTCACGCTATCAACTAATATTTTAGACTCGAAAAATCCCATGACGGATTTTTTCGGCGTTAATGCTAAATTTTGAACCAAGCAGTTGAGGAAAAAACCCAACGAATTTAAAAATAATTCCCTTCAGTGTGAAGCAGTTTCTCGGAATTCTAAGCAGGAAGGTTCACTGCTCATGCGCAGACCTTACATGGTATGAGATAAGCCACGGACTTTGCTCGCCGACTGACGCCAGTACTTCAAACATTTTAAAGTTAGCATCGCGCTCCGCTTGAAAAAGACGGACCATGAGTGAAGATCATTTACGACAGATTGAAAATCGTGGTCGAACTGCCACGGCCTTTTTCGGTTTGGTTGAGACTTCACAAGCTGAACGAGAGAGACTAAACGAAATCATCATTAGTCAGCACAGTGGTGAAATCGACTCTCTAAAGGAAAAAATCGAAGAGAAGAATGAAGAGATATTGCGTCTTCACAAAGCCATAAAAGTACTCGAGGACAAGAACAAGAAATTGGACATCGCTTTGAAAACCCGCAACGAAGAAGTTGCGAAACTCAAGACAAGGATTACCAAGCTGGAAGCTGAGAAAAAAGGCTTGGAAGATAAGTTGAGGAACGTCGAAGGAAAGCTCGATCGCATGGAAAAGGAAGTTGAAGAATTGGATAAGGCAAAGCAGGTTCAAGAGGAAGAAAATGTTAATCTAAAAGAGTGTTTGGCGATTATGTCTGGAGAAGTGGAAAGTGTAAAGCAAGAGCTGGTGTCGACCAGAAACGAAAACCAAAATTTGAAGAAAGAGGTGAGAGACCTTGGTCAAAAGCTAGTCACTTTCTTCCCAACCGGTTTCAAAGAGGGATTGCCGATGCTGACTCCTCCGCCACCACCTGAGCTCCAAGCTTCTTTATTTCTGGGGGAGTTGAGCCGCCAACTGCAAGCTAAGATGTACAAGTATGTCTTCCCACAGTTGTACACCCCCATCGTTGGTTACAAGGTGAAGACCATTCGTCGCGACCTGAAGAGGCTTCCGACTGAAGAAGCAAACCAGAGGTGGAGTGAATTGCAAAAGAAGCTGAATTGGGACGAAACGTACGAGGAAGCAATAAAACTCCTGCAGGAAAACAGGAATGCTAATGCACATCCCAAGATAACGGGAAAGTTACTTCGTGAAGCGGTGGAAGTCTTGGGTGAAAAAGGTAACCTAAAAGGTTGGCTCACACGGGAACGCCTTGATGTCTTAATAAGTATGTGGGAACAAATTTAGCCACTAGAGGAGATTCTTTCTAAGCCATTTCAGTTTTTTCCTTATTAGAGCAGTCTTCTATTGTTGGATATGTACTAAAGATTCTACCGAGCGTGAAGTGAATCTGGAATTGTTTTGTTCGAATATTCTCTACATCAGTAAGAATGTTAAGAGTCGTGATGACTCACCAGTTTCTTCAGGAACCATAAACTGAAACAATCCCAGCTTGTTGGATATTTTGGGGAAACAAATTCCTTCCATGAAATCTGTATAACTTCAATCGAACGTTTTAAGAACTTTGGCGTATTTTCAGTCGACAAGAATAAGTGTCAGCCTGAGCATTTCGGTATCTTTTAATTACAAACATTCCTTTTAGTTTCAGCAAATTTGCATCGCTAGCTAGCCTAAGAATTCAGTGTTTACTACTCGACAGACGAGTTACATTAAAAGTAGCGAATTCGAAGAGAAATGCCAAAGCAAAATGTGCATCTGCCTACGAGGGGAGTACTCTTAAGTCCTTTCGATATCAGGAGGCGAGTAAAATGTGTAAGGTTTTTCCTTTAACGTTTCTCGAGAAGAAAATATTTTCAAACAGCCTATGATTATGTTAGAAGTTTCCTTTGACATGGTAATCACTTATTTATGAAAGGAACATGACTTCGATGATTTGCACATTCGTGTTCTTTACATTAGCTTACTGCTTCTTTTAGCGAATCTTAACTAAATGATTACAAGATCATTTCAACAAATAAGTTGGCTTTATATCATACAGTGAAAAAATTGGATCACAAACAGTAATTTCTGTTTGATTGTCTTTTGTTCAGCAAAAGGAGCACGATCAATTTAAAATCCTCCTTGAAGATCGTAACCTCCCGTTCACAAAGTTTTTGTCTGTGTCACGTTTTGGCAGCATTTTAAGGCTTTGTACTTATGTATTTCACCGCAGATCAATAAAACAAATAGATCTTTTCCGAGAAATTCCCACACCGCGCCATACTTATTTGGTGGGCAACGTTTCCTAGAAATTACCTTCAGCGACAGGCGCATTTATAATTCATGTAAATCCTACAGGTTGTCATAAGACATGTTGTTCCCCTTACTGCACTCCATCAACCTTTTCTACTAATGACTAGTGATTTCAGGTTGGTAAGACCGACGACAAGCGTTCGGATGGAAATATTAATCAGATGTTGTACGTAGAGTGAAACAACAGTCAATCCTGTAGCAGCTGTAAGAATCGCACATGAAGGTAAGTTGTTTACTGTCACTGCCAAGCCTTTCCTCGCAAGTTATGTGAAATATAATAGTAATAACAAAGATAATGGAACATAGATTTAAATCTTTACGGTTAAAAATGGTCAGAACCGTGAGGTGTTGGGAGAGGGGAAAGGAAGGTTTATCCAAAGGCAGAAATTCTAACAACACCTCGAGATACTGTTAACCACCTTCCTCTCTTTTCTTTTTCAGGGTTATAACTCAACTCAACTGATTTGAAAAAAAGTCTCGCCTCTCTGTTATTATATTAAACTTCCCCCCTTTTTTATAGGAATGGAATGGGAACGTTATGATAGCAAATCGTCCGAACATGCTCGATTCGTGTCGTTTCACTCAAAACACATTCATTGCCACAGAACAGTGATAGTGTTGACCAGTTACTGATACTGATAGAGATGGTCAACCGCTCTGAATTGAGAAATGGCCGGAAACTATTCATGATAGTTTTTTTTCTCTGTTATTTATTTTATATCCCAACCAAAATGGCAAAATATTTGAATTATCTACGAAGTGTGAGGTGGAAGAATTGAAAGGTAACACATGATATTTCTCAGAAATTAAGGACAGGAAGTCACTCGCCCAATTCTCGGAAACATCAATAATTGATTCACGCTTGTATCACGCGGTGACCTTGACTGTGATTAGTTCACGCCCCAACACGCCATGAACACCATGCTTCATTGAGAAAAAGATAAACACACAAGCAAGACAATAACTGCGGGAGACTAAGGGAAAATAAAGGAAAAGTACGAAAGAAAATCGAGGAAAACAAAAATAAATTAAAAAATAAAGGTTCTAACTCTCAACATAAGACGCCTCCGACTTTAATGTCTGGTGCTTGGGTCTCTTCAAATAAACTGTCTCAATCATGTCCGAAACCAGGCAAGATGCAGTGCTGCAATAAGGAAAAATGTTGCATCAAATACAAACCAACATATATAGGATAATTCAGTGTTATCAACTGAGTTGAAAACGTAATTTGGCCACCATAGAGGGTTTAGAGGCTGACGTTTCGAGTGTAAGCCTTTCGTCAGAGCGATAGACGAAGGGCTAACACTCAAAACGTCAGCCTCTAAACTCTTTACGGTGGTCAGTTTACGTTTTTCAACTCAGTTGATAACAGTAAATTACCCTGTTATACTCTTCCACCGTCGCAGCACCGCAGTTTCTTTAGAAACTTACCCCCTTTCAACATATATAGGTTTTTGTTTCCGAAAAAGTGCGAAAGTTTTGAGTTGTGAGATTGAGGTTGATAAGTTAACATGGTTAACATTTGCACAAGGACTATGATCTCAGTGATATTTTTGTCGACCGCCTGGTCGTGGTAGTGCGTCGGATCGTATCCAGAAAGACGAGAAAGTATCCGA